TTAAGAGCTTGCTCAAACATGCGGTAAAGCACATTTTCTTAATATGAGAGATTGCTTAAATTTAAAGCTTAATGTTGATATTTTATTTAAAAGTATTGATGTTGAGTTATAGCAAAGATACCATATGTCCTTATCAGTAATTACAGAAGATAGGTCTAATTCACAACTTCATATTCTTTATTGATCAATAATTATGTAAATCTAAAAAGAAATCAATTACCTCTCACAATGATATGACATAATCTATCTAACCAGCCCCACTGAAACAATCTGGAATACTTGCTCTCAGTAGGAACACATCTACTCAGTGGTTAAAGCCTATTTGATGCATTAAATTTACTGCAGTATAAGCAATTATTGCATAACCATCTTGATTTACCATCATTAAATTCAGAAAAGAGCTAACTGTAGAAACTTTTGTGGTAATCAAGGATCAGCATATGTTCGAAGCTGTGCTTCCCTAGAGACAAGCAGAACAATCAAACAGCACAACCATAGAGGTTCACAAACATGACTCTCAGAAATAGATCTGATATTACACTATTTGATGCATCATCACTCTTCACTGTACATCCTTCCTATTTTTTCCTCCAGCTTCTAGTTTTAACCCTTCCCTGGGACTAAATCCAATTACTGTATTGAAAACAAGGAAAATGTTACTGGACGTTACTGCATAGAAAGAGAACATGGTACAATTTTTAAAAAAAAACTCATGGACAGGAAAACATAACAAGTAATTTTAAATTTAATCCAGGGAATAGTCTGAAATCAAAAGAGAAAGTTGGAGAAACTCAGCAGGTCTGGCAGCATTTATAAAACAAAACAGATTTTACATTTCGAATCCAATATTATTTAGTTTTGAAAAAGATTCATTTTGGACTTGAAGCGTTATCTCTGTTTCTCCTCTGGTTTTAAATTATAGAACTCATTAAATTTGGGCTGGTTGCACTTCAGTCCAAAGACGTGCAAGTTAGGTGGATTGGCCATGCTAAATTGTCCACAATGTTCAGGGATGTATAGGTTAGGTGCATTCGCCTCGGAAAATACAGGGATAGGGTTAGGGGATGGGGATGGGTCTGGGTGGGATGTTCTTCAGAAGGTCTGTGTGGACTTGTTGGGCAGAATGATCTGTTCCCACACTGTGGGGATTCTATGAACTTTACAGATTGGAAAATAACTAATGTAACTCATTTATTCAAAAAGGGAGGGAGGCAGAAAGCAGGAAATGATAAGTCCAGTTAGCTTAACATCTATCAAAGTGAAAATATTAGAAGCTATAATCAAAGATGTTATAACAAGGCACTTAGATATGTTCAAGCTAATCAGGCAGAGCCAATATGGTTTAGATGGGTATATGAATAGGAAGGGTTTAGAGGGATATGGGCCAAATGCTGGCAAATGGGACTAGATCAGATTGGTGTGTCTAGTCGGTGTGGACGCGTTGGACCGAATGGTCTGCTTCCATGCTATATGACTGTACAACTCTATGGTTTGTCAAAGGGAAATCATGTTTAAGTAATATTTTGAAGTTCTATGAAGAAGTAGCTTGTGCTGTGGATAAAATGGAGCTAGGGGATGTGTTGCACTCTGACTTCAAAAAGGTATTTGATAATGTGCTACACCAAAGGGTACCAAGAAAAATAAGTGTCATAACATTCAAGGCTATGGGCCTAGTCCCGAGAAGTGGAACTAATGTTAGTAGTAGTATATTTTTGGCAGTATAAACTCGATAAACTCTTTACTGTATGATTCTGTGAAAAGCTCACAATGTTGGGGTGAAATATTGCATGAAAGAAGACTGGCTGGCTAACAGGAAGCAGACAGTAGGAATAAATGGATATTTTTCAGGCTGACAGGATGTCACAGGTGTTGTGCCCAGAGGGTTCGATGCTGGGGCCTCAACCCTTTACCATTTATATACATGATTTGGTTGAAGGGTTCAGAGGTATGGGAGCTAAAATTGCTGATAACACAAAGATAAATAGGAAAGTGAGTTGTAAAATGGACGTAAAGAGATAGATTAAGTTATTGGGCAAAGATCTGGCAAATGGAACATAATGTGGAAAAGTGTGAAATTGTCTATTTTGGCAGAAAGAATAAAAAAAGCATAACATCTAAACGGTGAGAGTTTGCGGAGCTCTGAAATGCAAAGCAATCTGGGTGTCCTAAGGCATGAATTGCAGAAGGTTAGAATGCAGATACAGCAAATAATCAGGAAAGCTAATAGAATGTCATGTTTCATTGCAAGGGGGAACAAACGTAAGACAAGGGAGGTTACGCTTCTGTTACACAGGGTATTGGTAAGACCATATCTGGAGTACTGCATATAGTAGTGATCACCATACTTACAGAAGGATGTTAATGTATTGGAAGCAGTTCATAAAATATATACCAGATGAACACCTGAAATGAGTGGATTGCCTTATAAGGAAAGACTAGACGGGCTAGGCCTGTATCCTCTGGAGTTTAGAAGAGTCAGAGGTTGAAACCCTATAAGATCCTGAGGGGCGTGATGAAGTGGATGTGGTAAGGATGTTTCCTCTGGTGGGAGAATCCAAACTAGTGGTCATAGTTTATAAAAACGAGGGGGCACCAATTTAAGACAGAGGTGAGGATAAAAGATTTTCTCAGAGAGTTGAGAGTCTCTCAAATTCCATTCCTCAAAAGGCAGTGGACCTTTAAATCTTTAAATATTTTTAAAGCAGCAGTAAATAGATTTTTGATTACCACCATGGAGATGAAAGAATATTGCAGGTTTGGGATCGTGTTTCAAATAACGACCGAGATAGGGGAGTGGCGAAAATAGCCTCTTTATTGAGTATCCGCAGTAGCACAGTTCGAGGTGGCAATGGAATCCCAAAGTACAGATCTTACAGTGACCTCTTTATACACAGTTCTTACATATATTAAAGTTCCATCACTATGGTGTTACACAGTTTTATCTATTGTGCACAGAAGTTTGTGTTACAGCTGTCCTGGGGAAGCAGGAGATTGTTTAAACATTTGCTAATTGCTGGCTGCTACTTGGATTAGAGTGTCTGCCCGGTCTGCTTGCATAATTAAGAGGTGTTAGTCCTTTTATCTTCTAAATCAGTAAATGTTAGTACAAATACTAGACCTATATAATCTAAATAAATTAGAAATTACACATGCACTAAATAAAGTATAAAGAATATTAAACTGATTACCACAGCTGGGTCGTGAGATTTTGTTTACTATTTGCCGGTGTTTTGATAGTAGAGGGGGAGGGGAAGGGGGTTCTGAAATAAATAGGGAGAGAGTGGGAGGCAGATAGAAGATGGATAGAGGAGAGGATAGGTGGAGAGGAAACAAATAGGTCGAAGAGACGGGGATGGAGCCAGTAAAGGTGAGTGTAGGTGAGGAGTTAGGGAGGGGATAGGTCAGTCCAGGGAGGACGGACAGGTCAAGGGGGCAGGATGAGGTTAGTAGGTAGGAGATGGGGGTGCGACTTGAGGTGGGAGGAGGGGATAGGTGGGAGGAAAAACAGGTTAGGGAGGCGGGGACGAGCTGGACTGGTTTTGGGAGGCGGTAGGGGGAGGGGAGATTTTGAAGCTTGTGAAATCCAACCAAGCGGAGGCTCGGGGACCGCTTTGCAGAACACCTACGCTCGGTTTGCAATAAACAACTGCACCTCCCAGTCGCGAACCATTTCAACTCCCCCTCCCATTCCTCAGACAACATGTCCATCCTGGGCCTCCTGCAGTGCCACAACGATGCCACCCGAAGGTTGCAGGAACAGCAACTCATATTCCGCTTGGGAACCCTGCAGCCCAATGGTATCAATGTGGATTTCACAAGCTTCAAAATCTCCCCTCCCCTCTAGCGCATCCCAAAACCAGTCCAGCTCGTCCCCGCCTCCCTAACCTGTTCTTCCTCCCACCTATCCCCTCCTCCCACCTCAAGCCGCACCCCCATCTCCTACCTACTAACCTCATCCCGCCCCCTTGACCTGTCCGTCCTCCCTGGACTGACCTATCCCCTCCCTACCTCCCCACCTACACTCACCTTTACTGGCTCCATCCCCGTCTCTTCGACCTGTTTGTTTCCTCTCCACCTATCCTCTCCTCTATCCATCTTCTATCCACCTCCCACTCTCTCCCTATTTATTTCAGAACCCCCTTCCCCTCCCCCTTTTCTGATGAAGGGTCTAGGCCCGAAACGTCAGCCTTTCTGCTCCTATGATGCTGCTTGGCCTGCTGTGTTCATCCAGCTGTGCACCTTGTTGTCTCGGATTCTCCAGCATCTGCAGTTCCTACTATCTCTGTTTTGATAGTAACTTTCTTAAAGGAGTCAGAGGCCCTATTCAATATTTATTTAATAGGTACATGCTAGTGGAGGAAAATTGTTTGATGCTGTGCAACCTATTGAGGTCCCGAAAGATGATTGCTAAGGGGCTCTTTTATAATCTATTATAATCTTTTCATAGTTCCGGGTGGGTCATGGAGACAGTACGGCACTGAGGGTATTGTTTCTGAACAGGTTAGTAGTCTTTGATATTTATTCAAAGGTAGCTTTTGATGTAAATATGTCTGATAAGGGTTGAAGGTGTGAAGAAGCAGTAATGGGTTTGGAAGGGATGTTTTAATTTAGTCTATCTTGCAATAGTAAAATGCACTACAAAAATTGTGGTTTATGAATATATGAATGAAAATGCGTTATAGTAAAAAGCGAGTTAGTTAAGGGTTATTAATGAATGAATGGGAATGCGGTATCAGTGAATATTGCAAGCTGGTGAGTGAGTTAGTAAAGAGACCTATAATACAATATGTTACAGGGGTATCAGGCCTCCAGTATCCATGTCAATTTGTTTTTATAACAATCTGAAGCAATCAAGTTGATCACACGTTTTACACCCCGCCCAATTTCCCTACCCTTTGAAGTCAACAAATGGCATCAACCACCCACCACGTATATTTGATGAATCACTTATTGACCTAACAACTATATTTAGAGTAGGACTGAATTAACTAAGGGCCCACCTCTTGGTTGCTTGCTGGGATATATCCTGGGAAATGATTTATACTCATCTGGAGGTGGAAGGTCTTCAACTGAATGGAAATTATACTTGGACTCAAAGTCATCTGTGAAATACAAATAATTAGACAATCAACATTAAATAAGAAACAAGCCAATTTATTTTTAGTTCATTGTGAGAGTATTTCTGATGTAGCTTCAATTAAAATACAGTTTACATGAACATGAAATGCAGATTCTGCTAAAAAGGTTTCGGGGTTGAATTTTCACTTGGGTTTTCCAAATCACTTACTGTTTCTTCAACAGATGTGTGGGAAAATCAAATCAATAATATTTATTTGTTTACTGTTGACTAGGGAGTCTTGTGTTGAAGTGGGTAGCACTGTTGTCTCCAAGCCAGAAGCTCTCACCCAAGAACCTGATAGCCAAGGAAACTGCATTCATCGCACATCCAAGGGTTCAGTATTAATCCAACATATAGCCAAGGGCAAGTGTTAAGAGCAGGAGAGATTCCTTAGTCATGAGATGGAAATTGGAGCCTCTACCATCATTATTCATGCACAAGTGCATAGTTTCAAAGCAACTGAAGCTCCTTTTTGGAGTTAGGGGGAAAGAAACTTCCAATATCCGCAATATTTTGCTTTTGTGCATTTTACTTCCAATTTTCTACAGTCAGCTGAATAGCATATCATCAGAGATATAGAAGGCTGAAAGAAGAGGAAACCCAAAGTTCAGGCATTAAACTGGTGAAAAGTGACAGATCAGCCTAGTAGCCAGCTGTTTTATGTGATGGTCGTACTATATGACATTCCTTTATTCACTTGAAACCACAGGTCAGAACCACATCATGATTATCAATCATTAGATTGGCTGTATGGTGGCTGTAGAATTTTTCATTCATTTGCTGTGGGTTTGCAGCATTTATTGCCCATCACTAATTGCCTTAGAGGTGGGTATGGTGAGCTGCCTTCATGAACCCCAGCAGTCCTTGGGATGTAGCAACATGCACAGTGCTGTTAGGAAGGGATTTTCTAGTTTTTGACCCAGTGAAAGTGAACGAGCAGCGACATTGTTCCAAGTCAGAATGATGTGTGGCTTCAGCCATTTCTTGATATAATTTGGAACAAACTGAATCAGTTGAAGACTGACATTTGCAATGCTTGGGATGTCAAGAGGGAGACCATGATGGAACACCCACTTGGCACTTCTGGCTGAAGATGGATGTGTATACGTCAGCCTGTCTTCTGCATTGCTGAACGCCTCCATTATACAGAATGGTGATATTTGTGAAGACTTCACCTTTTGCTAGTTGTGTAATTGTCCAAAACAAATCATAACTAAATGTGACAGGAGTGCAGAGCTCAGATCTGATCAACTGGCTCTATGATCACTTTGCCTTGTTGATTACATGCTGCATTCACCTCTTGGACTGCAAGTTGTCCTGAGTTATAGTCACACCAGGTTCATAACTCATTTTTAGGTATATCTGGTGCAATCCCTGGCATGCCCTTACGTTCTTTCGTTGAATTAGAGTTAATCTTCCAGATTGATAGTAATGGTAGAGTGGTAGACATTCCAGGTCATAATTAACACTTCTCCTGTTGGTGGCCTACAGCACCTCATGGATGCCTAGTTTTGAGTTGCGAGATCTGTTCAAAATTTATCCCATTTAGCACAGTCATAGTGCCACACATAATGGTGGGTATCCTCAATGTGAAGACAGGACTTTGGCTGTGCAATGATAGTGCAGTGGTCACTTCTAATTTTCACCGAATCATAGAATCCCTACAGTGTGGAAACAGGCCCTTCGGCCCAACAAATCCACACCGACCCTCAGAGCACCCACCAAACCCATCACCCGAGAACCCACCTAATCTACACATCCCTGAAACACTGTGGGCAATTTAGCATGGCCAATCCACCAACCCTGCACATCTTTGGAGTGTGGGAGGAAACCGGAGCACCCGGAGGAAACCCATACAGACACGGGGAGAATGTGCAAACTCCACACAGTCAGTCGCCCGAGGGTGGAATTGAACCCGGGTCCCTGGAGCTGTGCGGCAGCAGTGCTAACCACTGTGCCACCCAGATTTTAATTTAATCTGATTTTCTAATCAACCTGTTCAAAAGCTGTTATTACACACCTCTGAACAGGTGGAACGTGAACCTGAGTCTCTTGGTCCAGAGGTGAGGACATTATCATTGTGCCAGAAAACTCCTTAGTGGTCACTTCAAAAAATATTCTCATGCACAGATGCTGCAGGTAGATTAGTTAGGACAAGATCAGTTACATTTTCCCTCCTTGTTGGTTATCTCACCACCTTCTGCAGATCTAGTTAAGCAGCTATATCCTTCTGGACTCAGCCAGCTCGATCAATAATGGTGTTCCCAAGCCACTATCAGTATGAGTATTAAAGACCTCTCCCAGGGTAAATTTTGTGCCTTTTCCAACATTAGTACTTCTTTTGATTGGTGTTCAACATAGAGAATTGTGATTCATCAGCTGAGGGGATGATGGGTGCTCAGGTCATAATCAGCAGGAGATTTCCATGCCCATGTTCAGTCTGATACCATGAGACTTAATGGGGTCTGGAATCAATGCTGAAGACTCCCAGAGCATCTCCTTTCTCAGTAAAGGCCGCAGTGCCTCCCATCTATCCTGACAGATATACTCACTGATAGTGTTTATGCCATCTACGATGTTGTACTGTATAAACCCCATGAGTACAAATGGATCAGGCTGTTGCTCAACTAGTGTGTGGGATGAGTCTCCCAATTTTGGCATCAGATCTCAAATATTGGTAAGGAGCACACTGAGGGTTGTGTTTCCCGTTATCATTTCCCCTACCCAAGCCAATGCCAGGGTTTTTCATACAGTTTCTTTCTTGTGGTTAAACTTTATAATTGTTTGATACAACTGAGTGGTTTGCTCAGCCCTTTCAGAAGGCAGTTAAGAGTCAACTCAATAGCTGTATCTGGAGACACATGATCAGGGTTTTGGGTGGGGGCTGGGGTTCGTCCATGCATCAAAACTTGCACAGGGTTCTGACATGTTGCATCATCTGTCTGCTGTCTGACAATCCAGAGATCAGAGGATTTCGGGGCCATTGTCAACTTGGTTGGAAGGTAGTCCCATTACACTCAAAATATAATGGGTTAAATCTCACACCAGGTGATTAAATAATTAAATAAGCTTGATACACAAACCAGTACTGAGGCACAGCTGCGCTGTAAAGGTTGTGTCTTTCAGATATACGGCATTATAGCAAGGCTCTTACCACATGGTTAGCTGGATATAAAATGTTCTGCAATTCTATTTGAAGAAGAACAGGCAGATTTTCCCACTGTCCTAGTCAACAAATTTTCCCTCAACCAATGCCATAAAAATAGATTATCTAGTCAATCTCTTTGTGACTATTTGTAACTGTGATTTACACAAATACTTAGACCAGCCACAACTTATAAGTTGGAAAAGATTGTGATTTGAGGGGTAAATGACTGTTGTGTTTGTTTACACAACAGTAAGTACACTTCTTAAGTAACTTTCTGGTTTTGAAGTGCTTTGAAATATTTTGAAGAAGGTTAAGTGGAAGTTCTTTAGAATTTATTACATCCATACCCACAATATACTTAATATCCATTTCAAATAAGACTAACATTTCTGAATAAGTCTCAATTTAGCCCATTTCTGAAGAAGGGTCCCAACTCGAAACGTCAGCTTTCCTTCTCCTCTGATGCTGCCTGGCCTGCCGTGTTCCTCCAGCTCCACACTGTGTTATCTCTGACTCCAGCATCGGCAGTTCTTACTGTCTCTCAATTTAATATGTGGCACACCGGTATGGCTGGCAGGAGATAATATGCAGAACCAATATCCCCCATGTTAATATTTAAGGGAAGCACTAGTCTGTCGGAGATAGACATTTGCACTGTTGCTCGTCTCATCCACCAGCAAGTACTCCCCTTACCGTCAGCCTTGGCATAGGATTATAATATATGGTTTCATGTTCCACTCCAAGTAAAGTTTTTGAATTATTAAGCAAAAAGTAAGAATTCTAGTTTGAGGTTCAATTGACTAATGGGCATTTTACTCTACGTAAACTCAAAACATTGTCTATAATTACCACAGACTGGTGATTGTGTAATAGAAATTCCTTGTCGAACTTTAAGTGGTAAAGGCGGTGGTGGTACTGGTGGTGGCGGTGGGGGTGGGGGAGGAACAGAGTACAGAGATGTCCAGATTGGGCTGGGTGTATGCTGGTTTCTGCTTGTAAGTTCCGTACTGGATGATCTAACTGGTGGCAGTGGAGGTAGTGCTAGTTTTCCACCACTGCTGTGCACTGAAAAACAGAAAAATTGACATGTAAACAAATATACATGATAAATACTGCAGAATTGAAAATAGCTGTTACAGTTTAAAGATACAATGACTACACATCAGTACAAGCACACAAATTCGACCATCTAAGTAATTTTATTCACAGATTTCATTTTTATTCAATAGATAAGTTATGGAAAAGCTGAAACTGACTAAAAAATGAACATAGGAAGAGAAGTTGATCATTCAGCTTCAAGAACTCATTTTGCCATTCAATTGGACTAGCTTTGAAATGGACTTTAACTCCATCAATTCAACTTGATGTCATAAGCCTAAATATGCTTGTCTAACAAAGATTTAATTATCGTAGGTTCAAAATTTGATTGAACGAGGCTCAGCATCCGTAAAATACCCATCCAGTAGCTTCTTGTGATATCCGTACTTGAACCCTGAAATTTCTCTGCTCATAACAATTATATATGCAATCACAACAGTTACTAACTTCTTGTTATTTAGAAATTATTCTGATCTATCTTTCTTAGAACCAAAGTGGATGACATCACATTTTCTCCATATTGATCTCCAAGTGTCGCAGTTTTCGCAATTCTCCGCCTTTAAAGTTCATTTACAACTTTCTGTTTCAAACCAAACTATTTAGAATATCACCCAATTTAGGGTTACCAGCAAACAGATATATGGCTCTCTCTTTCTTTATCCAAGGCATTTACTATTTGTTAAGAAGAGCAGGATGTCTTTTTAATATTTAATCCCCAATTGCCATCAGTAAAAACAAAATCTGGTCATTGGCACATTGCTGTTTGAGGGAGATTCCTCTACACAAAGCTAGTTGCTTCATCACCTACATTATAAGTGATGACATTTCAAGAGTACTTCATTTGCTGAAAACACTTGGAGACATCCAGTCATCAAGAAAAGCACTATATAAATCTTTCTTTAACGCATCCGGTACCCTTCAGGTTTTGGAAATTTGTCATTCTTTAATAACATTCATTTCTCTATCAACATGAATAATTATGTTGATTTCAGATAGATTTTGGCCTTGATTTATTGTTGGTTTTTCTTGCTGATTTCCAATCAGTAGCAACGACATAAGCTCCCTCCCCAACCAGCTGCTGGTTGCTTAATGCATGATTCTAAATAAGCATTCTGGCTGGTGAAATAGCTGCCAAACTGCTGAAAGTATCCTGTAAATAACATTTCATAAGCTGTGCTGAGCCCAGATTCAGCTCTACAGCAATGCACAAATCTTGTGGAGCCAATGTTGACAGTCTGTTTTGAGGCTTTTCCATGTTCAGCTAGATTTACTTGAAATGTATTGACTTCAGGGCAAAATACTGCACCCCCTACACTTTATAAAACTACTGTTGTACATACTTAAAGTAACATAAATTAATATTTTCCATGATGTTAACTGCTGTACTTAATTCATTAGGGAAATTTGTTTTTGTAACTGACTTAATCTAGTATGATGACAATTCACTGCAAAAGACAGTGCAATACCACAAACAGGACACGTTGTTCCTGTACAATCTATTATTTCTTACCTCCAGATCTCCCTGGACCTTCCCTTCCAGCCAGCTGGGTTCCATGTGACATTTGCCCAGATGATAAACTGGAACCAGGATGACCGTAGGCAGGAAATGGGGGTGGTGGTGGTGGAGGAGGAGGAAGAGGAGGTGGTGGAGGAGGAGGCAGCAGAGGTATTGAGGACAAACTTGGTTTGTTGGAAAAGCTGGGTAGTTTTGGTGGCAAGGCTGGAGGAACTTCGATACTATTCAACAAAGGGGCTGGAGGTGGTGGTAGATTATTTTCAGTTTTATTATAAGGAGTACAGGCAGGGCCTGGATGTAATGGGGGTGGAGGGGGAGGAGGCAGAGGAAAATCTGTACAGTCTTCAATACAAAGTAAAGAAGGTGGAGGTGGTGCTGGGAATGTAAAATCTGAAGCTTGGTCTTGGAAATTATCGGAAGGTGGTGGAGAAGGTGGCGGTGGAGGTGGTGGAGGCGATGGTGGTGGTTGTGTATATTGAAATTTAAATGGTTTAACATTTGCAAGTATTGGTGGAGGAGGAGGCGGGGGAGGGGGAGGAAGTGAAGGCGCAACTGGAGGTGAAGGTGATTGAATTGTTGTCACTGTTTTTGTAGATTTATTATTGAAAGATGAGGATGTAGAATAGGGACATGTTGACAGAGATTTATTCTGACTTAAAGGGAGTGTGAGGGCAGACACATTATGATGACCTTGAACTGTCTTTTGCACTTTAGGTAAGTCAAAGGCTTCTGGACGTTCAGGTTGTTTCAATGCATTTTTATCGTTTCTGGCGCTGTCATTCTGGACTGGGTGTCTTGATGTTTGTACTTTCATACCAAAAGGTTGAACAGCTGGTTTGGAACCTCTTTCTGAAATCAACAACCACAAGTATAATTTAAAAAAATACATTGACAAGTATTTATTAACTAAAATCTATCACATTGCAATATACAATCATACTTCTTATAAATCTAATTTATCAATTCATCAATGGAAGACAAGTTGAAAAATAAGGAGTCAGTATTAAGGTGTACAATAAGATCACTAGCAATAATTTGTGGGGATTTTCTGTTTTGCCTCTCCTATAAAATCGCACAGATTGCAAAACACATACATGTTCACAGTGTCACTACAAATCCTGAACACAGAAAACCTTCATCAGCACAATTTCAATATTACTACTGATAGCAATTAATAAAATTCTCATCTCTATATAAATAATATTGGATTGATTGTACTGCTAAATATTGTAATAAATATTTAAAATCATAACAGCTGAATTTTTATGAAGGCATTAAATAGATTTGTTTTAACTTCACAATGCTTATGATGGTATCTGCCCACCAACATATTGGAAATTCAAATGTACATGAAGCAAAAGTAAATTAAATAATTGGAAAAGTATAAAGGACAGTTTTATAAAATCCAGTCTAGCAAATCTGATAATCAGAGTATTAATTATTTTTTTAAAATACCACTTGCTTTCTCTCCCCCAAACATCTGCATATGACACACACTACTCTGGACAGGAAAGAGGATGTCAAAGAACCATTCAATTGAACCTAGGAATTTGAGGTGAAAACCAGGTCTGAACAGTTTCTATCATGTAATCTGCAGGCCAAATCTCTGCAGGCTCCGGATGGATGAGTACTCCACCATCTGCTTTCATAACAAAGACAGTCTTTGCAGCTGCTGGCAGCAATGTGAAACAATAATAAGAGGTTCCATGTTGGTCCAATGTCAAATGCTGCACTAATCACCTAATAATGGACAACATTTCACCAATAAGGAATAAGTAACATCTGAGGCATCAATCTTTGCCCGTTATTCAGGGTGCCGCATTAGTCTTCCAGGAGCTTATTAAATCAATGAATTAATCTTCATCATTTGAAATAAGGTCAATGACTTGCATAACCAGCAGCTGAGCAGGGTTTGTTGAAACGTAGGGCCTCTCTCACCATTGGTACATGAGCTGGTTTGACCACAGTAGATGAAGTGTTCCAACAGCAACCTAATTTTCTTCTACTTGGGAGTATTGCTTTATTTAGTAGCACTGCTTTGAGTTGAAATGTTCCAATTATTACACAGCAGTTAATAGGTATGATGGCATTAGTCAAGTCCTGATTTATCTTTTAGAATAAAGTTTATCCACCACTACCTACCTAAGGACACAGGAATCTTTATGAAAAAGGCATATATAGGCTTCAAAACTGAGGACTGAATACCAGACTCTCTTAGTCTCATATATGACCATCCATCCTTTACAGTCCAGCCAGAACTGTACATGAAATTGATGAGATAAAGAAATTACACATATGCAAATAGATTATTATTCATATACTGACAGCACTTTCAAAACTGCAATTTTATGCTGAATTGTAAAGATCATTCATAATATCAGCATTACCAAATGGGGAAATTATTGTTTGTTTCTGGAATGGTACTATAATTTGGTTCCTTCATGCTTTGTGTTTCCTTAGATTTCCATATACCTTTGTACCACAAGCAGTCTGTAGTCCCTTCCCATTTAAATAATATTCTTCTGTTCTATTCTTACTGCCAAAGTGACAATCTTACATTTTATATTCCATCTGTTCATTTTTTGCCCAATTACTTAACATATCTTTATCACTTTGCAAATTCTGTTTAACCTTCTTACAAACTGCTTTCCTACCACTTAGTCCTATCATCCAAGTCATTAGAATTGTAAATAATTAAGGCCCCAGAAATGATCCCTGTAGCCATTCAATCGGTACAGAATGCCAACCTGAAAATGACTGATTTACCCTGGCACTGTTTCCTGTTCATTACCTATTCCTCTATATAATGCTAATGTATTACTCAAACACCATGATCTCAGATAGCAATCTCTTACGTAGTACCTTGTCAAATGCCTTTAAGAATTCCAAACACTGTCAATCTACTGGTTGCCCTTTATCCTTCCTGTTTATTATTATTTCCAAATCTTCTAAACCTGTCAAATTTGATTTGCCTTTCATAAAACAATGTTGACTCTGTTTGATTGTATTTTGATTTTCTAAATCTCCTCTTACTGCTTTCTTCATAATGCATTCCCTGCAATAAGTAGCCAAGACATGTTGCTGTCATTACTTGCGTTGCTCAGATGACTCTTTAATTGAAACAGGAATCTTGAGTTTCAAACACGGTAATGATCCTGATCCCTGAGCCAAGTTAGGACTGAAACAGTGGAAGGGGAAATAGGCAGCACAGGCAACAAAAGGGACTGACAGAGAGAGAAATAAACAGTATCTGTAATAACAAGTACGTTATAATGCATTAGGTATGAACATGTAATGATATGATTGGATAATCACATGTTTTAGTTTGAATATGATTGGATAATACGGTCATGTGTCTATGAGCTTAAATATGGTTGGATAATATAGTCACGTCTACTAACTTGGAATACAAGTTGTCCAATCATGGTTAGACAGAAGTAAAACAAGGCTATAATTTGAATGTATTACTTAAAGAAATAATAAATTAGTAGCTTATCTGTAACATTAATACAAAACCTTTGTTATTCTGTTGAAGTTTTGAGTTGTATGTCATTTTCTTAAGGTGTACATCTTCCATGCGTGCATAATTAAACTTATAAAAGAAACATGAATCTTGTTTGGTCAAAGGAGAAAATGAACAGTTTGAATTATTCCTGCACACTAATGCATATGGAACTCCAAACAACCTAAACAGGTATCAAAATCAAAGTCCTGATTAGTCAACACTGAATTTTAAGATTTGTTACTTCAATTATGTGTAGTTATCTATCACTAGAAATAATTGTGCTCCAAACAAAGATACCTGCCAGGAATGCAGAATGGAAATTAATAACCTTAAATTATTATTGATAGATGAATCAATAGACCGCAAACACAACATAATAAGACTGCACCACTTGAAATGTGATTAAGTTGTCCAACAGAGCTACCTGAAGCATCTCGCTGTCCAGCAGGTCTGAGAACAGGAAATCCTCCCTGAAACAAGCTGCCACCCACTGCAGTTGGTGTTGATGTTCCACCCACAGCTCCTGCACCACATCCATTCTTGGGTTCTGCAGACAAGCAACAATAAATGTCCAGATTATAGTTTGAAAAAACCTACTACAGCAATACTCATCAGAAAATGCTTTAAGATAGTTGTAATTGGACTGATAATTTACAAAAACACATTTCAAAAAGAAATCTCTTACAAAGATATTTTTAGATGTTAGCAGTGCGCGACCAATGTTCCCACATTTTCCAGACTATTTTAAAATTGTCAGAAAGCCATACGTAAAATGCATAGCATTTCTGAAATACATTCTTGATGTGACAGTCTCCCTTTTGGCAACATGCAATGCAACTTCAAGTGGCTAATTTATTTTACCCATGTACTATCAAGATGTGCCACACTGAATTTAAAAACTGAACAATTTATGTAAAACATGAACATCTTCACAGTGGACATATCATCATGTAAATCCTAGGTCTGGTCAACAGATTTAAGGTTTGAATATGTAAAAGGTGAATTGTGTATGACAACCCACAGAATTGGTATAGTGTCACAGTAAAACACTTACTGTCAATGTTTGGGGCACTTCTGTCATTGATTTGTGTCACCCTTTTCAACCGTACTCCTTTGTGGATATCACCTAGCAAAGCACTCCGTCCTTTTAGCTCATTTGTGTTTTGTTTGGGATGTTCCACATGTGCCTGTAGAAAATTTGCAACCCATTATGATCCTTCTAGCATTAACACAAAATTTCTTTAAGATTTTTAAGATATAAGACAAACAGTGGAAGCTGAAACTACAGTAACTATTGGTTCAGCTAAAATCAGGGTATAAGCATGTTGTCTCATTAAAAAATGAACTGCATACGGTTTATCGGTCAATTTAGCAAAATTGGCTTCAGGTATCAACAAAGCTCATACCTATTATAAACTTCTAAAGCGTGGAGAGGCATATGCCTGCATGTAAATGCATTTCCTGGAGAAGATTGCTTGTTTCAGTTATAGTCTCATATGACTTAATGACTTGTAATTATTCACTGATTATGGAGCCAGATGATCTGAATACAAGGATTAAGTTACACTGAGCCAGAATTACTGCATAAATAATAGTGAGGTTATTGTTGCAAATCATCAGTAAATTCAATATTGAGACAGATATGCAGTTAAGAGTAGAAATCTGTTTGGCTTACACAGTTCCTCTGTAAGCTTTATGGGAATGGCAACTTACAATCTGATATGCCATTTAAATGTACAGAACAGTGCAAAGTTCATGTACTGATACTGTAGATATAGTCTAAACATTAGAAAGTTCAAGTTTTGTCCATATACATTAAGTACCATTTTTAATGGCATGATATGACTTGTTGCTGCCATACCACCTTTCTGACACTAAATACTATTATAAAGGAAGTCATTTCTGAAGAAGGGTCTAGGCCCAAAACGTCAGCTTTCCTGCTCCTCTGATGCTGTTTGGCCTGCTGTGTTCATCCAGCTCTACACCTTGTTATCTCTATAAAGGAAGTATCATTCTTTCAGATTTTAATTGTATTTGGAGATGTAAAAAGAAACGTTTTCTTTTGGTCCCTTGGTTTCGCGATTAATGAAGTTATTACCTTCCTCTCTTTCACTTCCTGTACTTGATATGACATTGGATTCAGTATTCTAGTTTATACTTTCTGACTTAAATACCTGCACTATTCATTAACAATTCTCCAGTGTGAACATTTAAGGAGATACGCAGTTGCTTGTACTGTTCAACCAAATCCTAGACTACATATATGGGTGCACCACACAATTTCCGTCTGTCACTTGCTGCAATTTGTTGTACGTAGCTCAAGAAAAAGAAAGAAGCAAGCACAAGTGTAATGAATAGTAGGGACATTTAATCAGCTTCAATAAGGCCTGATACTGCGCATTGCACAGGTATTGTAGCACTCAGTGTCAAATAACTTGTTATGATGTCTAACATATTAGAATTGGAAGACAGTCAAATTCACTTAACATTATTAAATCTGATGACATTTTAGCCCCTAGACTTCAGTTGTACTTTAAAGAGATGCTGCATATTATTCAATATGAGAAAGATGGCAGAAAGTAATAGAATAGAGGGATTTGGGAGTTCTCATTCAGAAATCACAAAAACAACCTAGCATCCAAGTTAAGTGGGTAACACAGAAAGCAAATGGATGTCCTCGTTTTTCAAGGACCGCAACTTCCCCTCCAGTGGTCGAAAACACCCTCGACCGTATCTCTCGCATTTTCCACAACTCATCCCTCACAACCCCTCCCCGCAATAACAACCAAAACAGAATCCCCCTCATCCTCACGTTCCACCCCACCAACCTCCGAATCCAACGCATCATCCTCTGGCACTTCCGCCACCTGCAATCCGACCCCACTACCAAGGACATTTTTCCCTCCCCACCCTTATCTGCCTTCCGGAGGGACCACTCTCTCCATGACTCCCTTGTCCGCTCCACACTCCCCACCAGCCCCACCATTCCCGGCACCTTTCCCTGCAACCGCAGGAAGTGCTACACCTGCCCCTACACCTCACCCCCATCCCAGGCCCTAAGAAGACCTTCCACATTAAACAGATGTTCACCTGCACATCTGCTAATGTGGTATACTGTATCTGCTGTTCCCAATGTGGCCTCCTCTACACTGGGGAAACCAAGCGGAGGCTTGGAGACCGCTTTGTGGAGTACCTATGCTCGGTTCGCGACAAACGACAACACCTCCCAGTCGCGAACCATTTCAACTCCCCCTCCCACTCCTTGGACGACGTGTCCATCCTGGGCCTCCTGCAGTGCCACAACGATGCCATCCGAAGGTTGCAGGAACAGCACCTCATATTTCGCTTGGGAACCCTGCAGCCCAATGGTATCAATGTGGACTTCACAAGCTTCAAAATCTTCCCTCCCCCGACCGCATCCCAAAACCAGCCCAGCTCATCCTCACCTCCCTAACCTGTCCGTTCTTCCTCCCACCTAACCACTCCTCCCACCTCAAGCCCTACCCCCATCTCCTACCTACTAGCCACATCCCACCCCCTTGACCTGTCCGTCCTCCCTGGACTGACCTATCCCC